GGCTGAAACAGATTACAACGTTTGTCAAATGCAAAGTTTTACAAGACTGACACGTTCAAAATCATTCAAATTAGAACTTGGAAATGTGTGAGGATTGATTTAACACCTTTCAAGCGTTTTACATTTATGTAAAGAAAACTCGCTTTACAATTATCAGGGAAAGTAAACGTTCGATCAGAATCATCCTCAATAATGAACGCTCGGCGTTTACAAGAACTGGGCTGTCGTTTTGAAATCTCAGGAGCTCGCTTCGAGCGGCCAATGATGAAAGACACTTGACAGTTGTTGAACGTGTTCATCATGGTCTGTTCCTGGGACCTCATCATGGTTGGATTCACGGAGAAATTCTGAGCTTGAAAACCTGAAAGTGATGGAGGGAATTGGTTTTTTTTCGTCGCTGTCATCGATGGGCCGGCCAATGTGTGTGGTACGGGCACTTTCGTGTTTACCGGAGCAAGTGGAGCCACAGTTGTTGTGATGTTGGAAACTGCCATTCGCTTTTTCTCAGCACTGGGGTTTTCATAATTTCATTTGGATATTGCACTGGAGAGTCGTCGTTGTTCTTCCTCGTCGGCTTCATCGTAATCGTCAAGGGATTGTACGCTTCGGTGGCCTGTGACCTTCACAATATCTGAGCGTTCAACGTTTGCTTTCTTTAGCTTGCTCACTGTTGTCTTTCTAGCACTGTGATTCGTGAACTTTTTGTGACTTTCTTCAAGGCTAGTACCCGCCACAGTTGTTTTCATCATGTTACTAATCGTGTTTACGCCCATTTGTTGAGTTTTCAACCAGATGTTGTCATTCAGTGTTCGGTTTCTTTTGACACTGGGGTAGAAAGGACCTGACCATCGCATGTTTAGTGGTCTTCGCTCGACAAACTGCTTGAAGATAACAACCGGACACCTTTCTCCTCCAACAGAGAACATTCGGGGCTAAAAATCTCTGTTCTTGCTCTGCAGTCCGCCCTGTCTGGTCTTCGTTGGACCTTCGGTAAACTGCACGAACCCCATACCTTCGTCATTTTTGCAGAGTTGAAAATCTTCCATTTTCGTTGCGTGGTGTTCTTGACGGCCGCGGAGACCAAAGAACTGCGTCAAAAGCCACCACATAGAAGAAAAAAGTGCTTCTGGAGTTTTGGAACCAAATTTTTCTGCCTCCCACAGCACCTCTTCTTCTTCCTCAGTTAAACTTCTGGCTTTATTTGGACGTTTGCCCATACCGGATTGGCGAAGCTGCCGAGCTTTCCCCTCTAAAACTTGCTTGGAAGAGTGGAACTCCCTCTCTCTTATGATGGAAAACTTGTATCCTTTCTCGTTTAAATGTCTGTCAAGTGCAGCTATCATCACTCTAAAGCTGTCTGGCTCGTAGTCGTCACCGTTTTTGTTTTTTACTTCAGCGTAGAATGTTTCAAGTAGCTTGTTTAGTTTTTCTGGCTCGTTTTCCTCGATTTTGTTGACAATATTTTTCTGTTTGCACCACGTCTCCCATACATTCAGCCAGCAAGACGTACTCTTTACTGTATTTGGGTTTTTGGAAAAATTTTTTAGCTCTTCAATCGTTGTTTCACTTGCAAAACCAAATCGTTGTTTGCTGAAAACCCCGGCCATTTTCCTCCGCGTCTTATCTCAAAATTTCCGCCAATATGTTGCTATAAAACAGCTCTAATCTGATTGGTTCTTGTTGGTTTCTTTTGTGTTTTTAGCCAATCAGAAAGCATTTGTAATTTGCACTCGTGTTACAAGTTTGCACTCGTGTTACACATTTTGCACTCGTGTTACAGAAGAGCTGCACTCCTTTCTCAGCCAATCAGAACTGAGTAATTTTTTCGTGTATATTATTAGCCCATTAATACGCTTTCAGGCTTGGTCCATGCCGGGGAAGGTTTAAGAAATTGAAGGTGATGTTATACGAGACAATTCGCAACTACGATTTTTAGCGCGACACAGCGTTGCAACATTATTGCGACATTGTTTCAAATGATAACAACATTGCTCGAGCAAATTGCAACGCTGTGTTGCACTAAAAATCGTCGTTGCGAATCGTCCCGTGTAACATCACCTTTATGAACTATCGATCGCACGTCTACCGACTTAAAGCGTATGACCGTACGATTCCCTCCCTGCTCGTTGGGTGTCTTTTCATCGGTCGGAAAAAACATTAACACAACATGGTTTATCATTATTTCCATTGTTTTAGGTTAGGATAGCAAACCATTTGGCTTTTAGGGTTAGAAGAGTTGCTACATGACCTCTCCCCACAATGAAGAAAAACAATATGGCCGCCAAATACGTCCTTTTAGTTTTTAAAGTTATCCTTTATTAACAAACGTTGAACATTTATTTCGGCAAACAAACAGTTTAGTTGAGAAAGGATTTTACAAAAGTCTCACGGGTAGGTCTCGTTTTATATTTTAACTTGCAATCAGTCAAATTACGCAACTTTTAAACTTTTGGCTCAGTTTTCGTTTGCTTCCGCTTTGAAAATGGAATAATTATAATTACTCAGGGGTAATATAGTGCAAAGATTCGTAGAGAAAAACAACAAAAACTTCCCAATTTATGGCGAAAAATGTACTTTAAAAACGAACTAAAATATTCAAAACGCTATGATCACGTGACTGATGACGTCATGTCCCTCTTTTGGTAATGAAAAATATGATCAGGTAGAACATTACTTTCCCACAAATTTTCTCTACCGCGTGATAAAAGGTTGGCTCTCTACAGCCCTCGGCCTAGTCTCCCGACTTTTTCGCTCATGAAATTTTTAAAGCCTTGTGTCAACTGGTTATTTTTAAATGCTCAGCACAACCAAAACCTCAAATATACTATTTTATTTTAACCCAATAATGAAACCTTGTCACAGCATTAAAAAAGCCTAATTTAGCAATGGCCACGTGACTGATGACGTCACCTAGATGTGACATGAGAAGATATTTTATAGCAAATGTTATCTTATTGTGGTCTGACATTCTTTTACGTATAAAATTGTCAAAGTTAAAGCTTTTTAAAAAATTGCCTCAAAGGATTCTGGGATAATTTTCATGATAATTATAATTTACTGTTATAATAATAATTATTATTATTTCCAACCACCGGAAAGTCGGTTTTTAAAAAACGCCTCTTTTCGTTTCGTTTTTAGCCCGCCTGTTAGTGTCTGGATGTAGAATGTTTGATTAATTGTATTACCTGAAACATCTCTTGACGGGCCAGTAAGTCTTGTGGAAGTGTATTTCCCTCGCTCCCAGTCAAACTCGTCTGTTTGCTTCTCATTTGTCCATCCGCAAAAGTCTATGTCGAATGTACAGTTTTCTACAATAGAAGTCGCATCACTGTCACAAGACGTCAATTCAATTCAGTTCATGTTCCGCACATTACCTGTTAACTTTTATTAAATGACAGCATTTTTTTCTTAGTTTAAAACGTTTCCATCCAACAATTAAGGTTAAAGTTCAGGTGGCCAAGTAAACCATTTGGTTTTCTAGTAGGCCACCCAAATGATTACCTACCTAGTGAACTAAATTCATGGCTGAGTGCAGAGTGAGCAAGATCAGAAAATTAAGCGACAGATGGGCTATCAGTGAGATAATTCTTTAAATTTTTTTAAAAACAAATATAGAAGGAGAGCTAAGTAGTGAAACAGGCAACGAATTCCAGATTTTAGGTCCTCGGTAAAGGATACTGAATTGCTTTATATTTGTTCTACAAAAATGAGGTCTATACTGAGAGGCTAGTCGAGTTTCGTATTGATGGACTTGATCACTACTTAAGAACAAGTCACGAAAGGTACTAGGCAAAAGATTATGGTGATAAGAATACATAAAGGTAGCGACAGAAAATGAATTAATACTAAATATGTCAAGGACTTTAAGCTGGCTAAATAAAGGTGCGGTATTTGTTAGATAGTGAGCTTTTGTTATGAGCCACACTAGACGCTTTTGCAAAAGGTAAATACAGTTTAGGTTGGAACGGTAGGTGGAGGACCAGGCGACATTACAGTGTGTTAAGAAAGGATAAATCAAAATTACAGTACGTTAAGAAAGGATTACTCTTATTTGAACCGAAGTGGCTTAAATCCTCAGTCATATCTCATGAAACCTTGCGAAATTTAACACAAATAGAAACTTAATACAAAAAGCAATGATGTGATGGCGTCGGTTGTGATAAGAGAGAGAAATTATGTAGTAAAGAAGTCGAGCAAAAGTGCTTTCTAAAGGGAGCCGATTAACGAGTCGCCTCTCTTAAAGGGACTGTGGCACGATAGTGCTTATGTGTGAGCTGTGACAGAAGCTGATTGATTTTAAACCAATCGGAAGCAAATTAGATCCACGCAAGGAAATTTACATAATTCGAAATTCGTTGTTCACGAAGCGGGAGACTTTGGGACGTTTTTGTTTCATTTTATATATCACCATAGTTCATACCCCAGAGAGGATAAAGGGGACAGAGAAGGCATCCCCCATACACACCCTATTCCATAGGTAATTCGTCTCGAGTTATTTTTGAGAACACAGATCCCAAGGGGGATTAGACAACAGCCAATCACATAGCGCGAACGTGTTCCGCGTGGATGACCCTCGCTCAGAGCCACGCGTCCTTCATGAACTGACGCAGTACAAAATGGCGGAAGACGCGGAGGCAATATTGCTATTCGTTTTGTCGACGAAAACGACTGCAGAGAGGTTTCTGCTAAAGCTGTGTCAGCGAAACGGAAATTTAGAAAGAAGCGCCATTCCTGGCTTGTTTCTAGCTGAGAGTTCTACCGAAGAAGATGAAAAAGTCAGTGCAAGCGAGGAGGAAGCTGTAACCGAAACGGAGAGTGCGAGTGAAATACAAGAAAACGTAGAAAGCTCCTATTCCGATGATAGTTCAGCAGATGAAGCGAAGAGGAGGAAAAGTGCAGGGAAGCCTAAACCTCCGCCTCCGAGTTCGACCGTCACCAAATCTAGCAAAAAGGCGCCGAAAAAATCAAATAAACGGAACAAGAGTCTTTCGCAAGAAGAGATGGAGCGATTCCCTTTTCCCAGGTGAGCGCCGACTCATTTCGCTTCAATATTGAGGAATGCTATCGATCTCTTTACGCTTTCATTGCCTTTCGCCCGACATGTTTTGCATGGCGTTTAGTCATGCAAAACCTCCACGAAACATCCACGCAGCGCGCGAGGTAACTTTATCCCGATTCTAAAAATAACTCAAGACAAATTACCTATGGAATGGGGTGCGTATGGGGGATGCCTTCTCCTTCTCTTTTATCCTCTCTTGTTCATATTTATTCTCTGGTATTCCTCAGATATATGAACTTGGGATCATAGTTTGACTAGAACCTGAGTATGAGACGCCTTGCGGTTCCTACAAAGTTGGAGACATTCATTACTACCCTCCGCACAGGGCGCAAAGCGCGAATGAAAACACAGCGACATATATGGAGTGTTACTCTTGCTGGGTGCCTAATGGACACAATGGACCAGCGCTTGCTTTATTGACAAGATATCTTAGCAATACAGTCCAACAATACAAATGATCTTAAAAGTAATATCAAAAAATGACAGAAATAATATAATTTCTACATAACCGAACATTTAAATAATATGGAACGCGACAGAAAGTAGAATCAAAGGAATGATACACTACCCGGTACGAAAACCCGGAATAAAAAACCCATTGGGACAAAAAAAAAACCGGGAACGTACTCCTCGATCGAATGCAGGGTGTCGAGTTCCGAGGATTAGAGCTTCAGACTAACTTAGGAACTAATAATAAGTCTGGTCACCGACAAGACAACGGCTGTTCAAAACACGAGATAGCCAAAATCGCTTCTACGTTGATATTTACACAAATATTCATAGCGTATAATTAAATGTAGGTACGTAACCTCTATTAAAAGACTGAGTTATTAAGAACAAGAGGTTGACACAAATGTGAAAAGAATGCTACGAACCGTAATGAAACAGCTTTTCAACTACTGCACGTTGTTACGTTGAAAAGCATTTATTGATAACGATGAAATAACTACCATTAATCGGTGTACTCGGGATATTACGGGAAATCTGCAAGTGTTGCATTTGAGGGAGTCCGAGTGCTGAAGTCCGAGGCAGATTTAATATTGCTGCGCGCAGGCAAGTTTAAAAACTATATGATTTAAATTTTTTCTGGCGGCACTTTTGTGCCACACAAGGTGAACGATTTTTATAAAGTTGGACTTACCTTACTCCCTTTTTTTACCTTGGTAGGTTTATTCGACAAGTAGGAAGTCCAACAATGTCATACGGTTTGCGCTCTGCATCGTTTTTGTCTTGGCATTTACTGGAAGAGGAAACTGTCGCGGCACATAAAAAAGATTGTGCTAAGGCCGATCGGGCAGTAAATGGTGCACTTGCGAAGAAGATATTTTTTCTTACCACTAAAGTTGTTCCTGTTGGCTCAAGTTAGTTGTTGCACGCTCAATTCTTAACTGGGAATACAAGGAGCACAATAAACAATTTTGAAAATGCTATGGATCTGCCGTTTTAAAAAAGCGTCATCTCTGCCTAATTAAATAAAAGATGACCACATAAATTGTATTACAGGGTTTTCGTGGGAAGGGTTTTAAGCAAAATATTTTCATTAAATTAAAGTAAAAAACTGCTAGTCTGGGAAGACATTACAAAAAAAGTTTAACGGTAAACCGTTAATCTCAAATATAATTGCTAAGGAATACTGCCTTAATAAATTTTGTTGTGAGCTTCCTTGTAATCTTGCTCTTATCTTTGCCGTCTATCTGGCGTCTTTGTAATTAGTGTTGCTGTGGCTACTTTATGAAGCTGTCATTTTCTTTTTTTGCAGGCATTCGCAGGCGAAACACAGAATATTTCAATAACGAGGAAAGAGAGGTATCAAAAAGCAAAATGGCTTTGCAATAACATAAATTTTCTCGATTTTTATAAATGATTTACTGTGGTTAAAAAGACGAGATGAGGAGATTTCTTTTAGTAGAGAACGAAATTGGTATTATCAAGGGAAAACTGAATGAAGTGCGTCTTCCACATCTCGACTGAAAAACATTAACCCCCTCCCTCCCCCACCTGAAATTCCTGTTCTTTTCTTCCGGCTGCGGCAGTCAAGCGCCTCTGTGTGGTTACTGGATTACAGGAGGGGTTGTGTATTAAAGACGTTAGCTGGGATGTGCAGTCCTCTTCCGTTTAGAATATCTTCGTCATCGTGAAAACCCCCTTTCGCACAAAAAGTTAATTAAGGGGGGGAGGGGGGTTGCGAGCCCTGCTGGCCTCTCCCTCTGTGCGGGACCTGTATGGTTCGGCATGATAAACGTTCCCTATTTTATTTTGGACACCGTCAGAAGCAAGGACACTAGACGAAACCGAGTGTTCCATGTATTTGCCAGACAGTGAATGAGACGACGACAAAGATGAGTCGGAAACTAAAGCAAACGCATTGGGGGCCCTCAATTGCTTTCTGGTGTCAACTGGAAAGGAACCTTCTCCCTGCACCCACAAGTTCCATGGGAAACCGCAAGCAAAAAACCCCAACCTTTTTATGTTTCCAAGGTTAAGGAAGTTATTACCGAAACTGTTCACACCTTAGCGCCAAATCATACAGATAACCTTTTAAAAGCAACATTAAACTCCATTACAGCAGGAGAAATCAACGATCAAACGCTTAGTGTAAACACAGGTATTCTTATGGAAGTGGTCGAAAGCTATAATGAACTGTCTGATCCAGAAAAGAGAAGGCAAGTTCTGATTATAATTGCCGATATACTACCATTTAAACGGCTACAAGAATTGATCCCAGAAGTAACCAGACGTACATCAAGTGACTCAAGCGAAAAAGCATAAAGAACAATTCGGCTTCTGCCCCAGTAAGCTCTGGCCTTCCAAGAGAACGAGTTGAGTCTAGTAAAGTTGATCACGTTATAGATTTTATTACGAGCGGTCATGTTATTCAGGATTTGCCATTTGGGAAAAAAGAACATTAAGATGGAAAACGGAGAAACAATTGAGATTCCGAATGTCAGTCGGCTAATGATTCCCAGCCGTGTTGTTGAACAGTATAATACTTTCTGCAAAGAGCAGGAATTTGAGCCATTAAGCAAACGAACCCTTCTTAGAAAGTCCACTTTATGCCCGGCCTCAGAAAGAAAATGTCTTCAGGGTCTCGACTATTACGTTGCCGATGGTGGAAAAGCCTTTGATGAACTTTTAGTTGTCATTGAGAAATTTGAATTACAAGGTTTGAAGAAGAATCCTGTGATTTGAAGCATACCCTCAGGAAAGGAAAGCAATACCTCAAGGGTGAATACAAGGTAAAAGCATTACTAGCAGGCTCCCCGACCGCGCGGGTGCGCCTGATGGGAGGGAAAATTATATAAATATCGTTAAGTGTACTACTGACGACTGGATCCAAAGTGGCTAGAATCATAAAGCATCAGAGTTAGATGAACTCGTGCAGGAGTAACAGATAACGGCAACTGAAAAATATGTAGCCCCCAGCTGATGTAGATGTCAAAAAATTAAATGGTCGTACAATCCAATAAAAAGATCTACTTAGGAAGATGAAACAATGTTCATGGCAAAGTGGTTAATTTTTTAGCCCCTTCAGTTTCCATTAAAAAACCTTAAGACTTTCTCAAAGTCTTTTATCATATTTTATTATTTTTTGGGTTGTTAGAACCGGTTTAACGGTCGGCCTTTTGTCGCTTCGGTATTGCGACCTCTTAATATGGGCACCTTCCATCGTCAGGAGTTGAGGACCTGACGTGAAACAGGTCTAAAAAAATCTGTCTGTTCCCAAAGTTGCCCCTCTGATTGTATATTATATATCTCAACTGGTGAGATATGCTAGAATTTGCACGTCCAAAGTTGACTTCATCAATAGACTCCGTGGGCTTTCATTACGACTCAGACAGCAAGGCTTTGAAACCAATCTACTTCAGAAATCATTTAATAAATTCTTCAGTCGCCATGGTCTTATCGTCGAGAAGTATGGTGCAGCCCTGCGGGAGATGAGATTAGCAATCCAGGCTTGAATTGCACCATCGTATCCTTACATTACTTATTTATTGCATATTGTTGTATCTCAGTTGTATCTCGGTACGTGTGCGCGTACAATTTTATTTTGAGCACGCGCATGATTTGTTTATTTATCTAATTGACGTGTACATTTAGTTCGTTTATTAACGTCTTAATTTTACTTTGCGTTATTTTCCTCACTTATACATTGTCCGTGACTGTGCTCACATGGTGGGTGGCTCCTCCTAAAATGTTCTGCAATTGGTATAGGATTTAATGGAGTCGAAACCAATTGTGGAATTGTACGCATTTTAGGCATCCTACTGATGAACAGTTGCGACACGTAGATATATATATTTTTAGCAACTAAGATAATTTGCAGTCTGTCTACTTTGAATAGTGCGGTTCAGCTTAAAATATTGAAGGCAACATTCGCGCGTATTAAAACAAAACAAATGAAAGGAGGGCGTTGTTCCCGTCAGTTTCCTTAATATCTGCAACAGTGATAAAACAACAACTTACGTTCGCAGAATTAGGTACCCCGTCAAGCATTAACATACATTTCTAATCGGAAGTCTCTCTTTCTTTTAACTGCATAAAATAACAGAAATGATTTTATATCTTGTATGGGTAGGTCCACATTAGTCAAACAAATTCCGTTGTTGATCACTGTAGAAATTTTGCTCCGAGTGATCCAAATACTGCAGAGTTCCATGCACCGTGCCGTGACCACAACCATGACCTCCTCTGCAGTAAACGCGAAAGACTGAGTGGGCAGGTGCGTAACTTACGAGTATTACCTTTTGATTCTACCTAAGTGGCATATGAAGTCACTCAATGCTTGTCAGTCTTCAAGCATTCGAAAAATTGGCGTTTTTATAAGATATTTCTCGATATTTTCTTTTTTACAGAAGTGTTCAGTTTTATTTGTAGGTTTTAGAGAACGGTCATTCAAACTAAAGTGACAAACACCCCCTTTCCAACTGAGGAAGAAAGAGATGACAATCTTTTCGTGGTACAAAACGCTATTGAAGCTATACAAGTATGGAAATCACATCGCATTAGAATGGTTAACCAAGATGAATGCCGCTTGAAAATTATTGAAAGCTTATCTGAAAATACCGTACTTATTGTGCAGGACTTTGCCATGAAATTTTTGCCAGCTGAGTACAGGGAGGCACGGCCAGACTTTTTTGGAAAACTGGGAATATCATGGCACATCTCAGTATGTCTAAGAAAGCGAAAAGACAATCTTGAGGCTCAAACCCTTACGCATATTCTGGAGTCAGGGCTTCAAGGTAGCACTGCCGTGGTATCCAAGATGGAGCAAGATGTCTTAAAGAGTTAAAAAAAAAAAAACAGCATCCTGAATTAACTGATGTGTATTTTCGACAAGTTAACACAATTCTAAGTTGCAACGCCCTTAGTCAGAAGACCGGGATCCGGGTCAGGCACTGTAGACTTTAGTGACCCACAGGGGGGGGAAGGGAGCCTGTGACAGAAAAGCAGCACCAGTCAAGTCTCACGTAAGGTGTTTTGATGACGAAGGCAACTCTGTCACCACACCAGACGAGTTTCTTGAAGCCATCCTCTGTCATGGTGGCATTGGTGGTATAAGAGTGGACGTTATAAGATCTGGACAGGAAAGAAGTGGAGTATCCAAGAAGAACACGGTGAAGTGGGAGGGGATTAGTTCGTTCAATAATTTTTCGTTCATCCCTTATGGTGTCACTGCGTTCAGAGCTTACAAAGTCGGAAATGGCAGGCTTTTTCAACATTCCGCTTTTAAAGGTACCTGTGGCTTTAGTTTTCTCGCAACTAATGTAAATTAGTCAGCGTTTAAGTCAAATGATAAACCACTCATCAGTGAACTGTCGGCATTTTTGCCAACGTTCGCTCTTTTTTTTGTTCGTTAGTTTTGTTTGTTTTTTTTGTGTGTGTCTTTTAATGATCGTCATAGTTAAAGGCATCATTTTAGTAAAAAAGGAAAGAACAGTATAACTTCAAGATGTACACAACACGGTCCATCTCAAATTTAGTAGAAAATTTAAGCACGTAAATTTTTGAACATTTATATGAATTTACGTTTATTCTTTCTTTATAAAAGGAACGAAAACAGGTGACACCAATAGTGAGATTGAGGCATGCCTAACAGACGCAGATTTTGTACCTCTGCTATTGCTCTCTACCGCAGAATGTGGGAAGGAAGACGAGGAAGTTGCAGAAGAGCAAGAAAACATCTCGTACGAAAGTTCTACCTCTGACGATCAGAAAACCACGTCGTTATTCTACTGCCCAGTGGAAGGATGCTTGAAAACATTTCTTCCGTCTTCTACATTACACCATCATATACTCACCGGAGATCAGCGAACAGGGGAACGGGGTTCAAAGCAAATCCTGATACAGTTGCGTTAACCATGAGAAAAGCAAGAAATTATCAAAACGATCGTCTCTTTCGAGTAACAGAATTTTTAGCAAGTGGCCTCGTACTTTAGCAGAAAGAAGGCCTCACAAAACCAAAAAGTGGCCAATCGTCGACAGTATCCTTGTTCCACATGTGTCAAGTACAATCTTAAAATGAAAGCAAAGGAAAACTCCTTCAAAAGAGTATGAAAGATCTTGCGGAAATAGTAAGCGAACTTCAACTTGGGGTAATGAGCAGAAAAAAGGCTGATATCGTTCAAGTTCTCGTAACGCACCCATCTTATTGCCAGCAATAGAATTAGTCAGCGGTAACACGAAGAAACATAAACACAGTACTTCCTGTAGTTATCTGCTATATTTTTGGCTACTTAGTATTTTTTATACCTTGACTCTAATTTCCAAAAGTAATGCAAGTGAATTCAAAGTATTTTCCACACTGTTTCCAGTACAAATTGGTATCGAATCGGTATTAATATTAATTGTTCGCCAGATAGCACGCGAATTGACTGAATAATCGCCGAGATTATTCAAGATGTAGGTGAGATCAGAGAATAAGTAGATCATGTTTGGAGCTTTTTTGTCCATCCAATCAAAGCAGGTTCAGTGACTTGGCAGGATGTCCCTGTAAAAGGAACCTCGAGAACTGTGCATTGAAGGTGACTCGCTCAGTTACGAATTAATGAAACCAGCGCGACTTCTGTGTTAATCAGTGAGTTTGCCTTTGAGGTTTTTCTCGTATTTATTGCTTTGTTAATGGCATGTTAAGTATCACTTGTCTATTATAAATCTGTCCGACACCGTTTATTTTCCTAGACAAAGTCACATTAGAGTTGCTTGCTAAGTTACTCCCTCAGACAATAATTTGCATAACTTAACCGCTAACAACAGGAGGCCTGTTTTTGAAAACAAATAATCGCTAATCTGCAGGATATCTGAAGGTAAATCTTAAAGAAATACAACCTATAGGAAACATACCAACGGCCACGCCTACTTTTATTTAAAAGACAAGAAACGGCGCACAAAAATCGCCACGAGTTGCTATTTTCTGACAGGTATGCATTTTAATTTGCTTAGCATGCAAAGATATGAGGTTCCCGCGGACTTTTTAGCATCAAACGATTCACAGAGGGTAAAATATTTACATCCTGTGTTAATTTTGATTAAAATTGGAGTGCTAGTGAGGGAAAAAAATGCCCCGAAGATGACTATTTTTTACCTTTTGGAAAAAAGTGTTCCCCCCCCCCCCCTCGTAAACGACGATGACCAGGCGCCGTCAGGGGCGGTCTTGAGAAAAACAAATAGCATTTTTATTAAGAGGAAGGATGGTATTTTGCTACGATGTATGCAGATTTGAAATATTTTCCTGCTCTTGGAAATATTTACCTGAGAAGACTTCGACTTTCAAGGTAAAAATTGTCCCCCAAAATGCTTTTTTTGGCCTAAACTCCCCCCCCCCCTGTTGCTAAATCCCGGTTTGTGTTAGAAATCAAACAAATACCACAGTGATTAGTTTCATCCCAAGTACTAACTACACACCAAGTATGAGGAAAGGTTTTGTTTGACCATTTCCAATTTTGCTCAAACCTTAGCGACATTACCTGATAAATCGTTAAAGCCAGTTAACGGTGGTCTACTCTGTGAAAGCGGTTGGAAGGTTGGTGGTTAGGTAACCTGGTCCCTGGTCCCTCCACCGTCGTCACCGTCCGTCAGAGGTCGACAAGGATGTCACAAGTCCAGGGACAAGCAAAGCATTCACCATTTTCACATAGACTATAATGCACCTTGTTTACCCCCCCCCCCCCCCCCNNCCCCTTTTTTCCCCCCCCCCCCCCTCTAAAAAAAAAAAACTTTGCATAACCATTGTTTTCGATTTCTCTTGTGACGACTGTAATACCCTGGAGAATTTGGAAACAATGGTTATGCAAAATTCTGAGGGGGAAAACAAGGTGCATTATGGTCTATCTGAAAGTAGTGACCACAAGAGGAAGAGATGTAAAGCGCGCAGAAAAATTCAGCTATGTGACGGACAACCTAATTCCCAGGTCTCCCAGGAGTTGTGCAGGGTTGCGTAAATGAAGACTACGCGAAGGGCTAACGCGATGCGCGCTCAGGAGGGTCCACTGAAACTCACTGACACATTTCTCAAGTGCAAGGAAAGTTGACGAAAATTACTTCTTCTTGGCATTCAGACGGGTGATAAATTAGCCAAACCACCGTTCAGGTTCTCTCTTGTCGCGATTTGATTTTAGGCTCTGTCCTTACTTTTTGGGGCATGTCGCTTGTCGGAATTTACCCTGGCAGGGCCTCGTAAAACTTACTTTCCGCAAGTCAACAACAACTATGGACAACTATTTTCAGGTCGAAGCACGTGTTTGAAATGGAAAACCCTGGCTATAAATTTTTTCTTACGACGGCGACATATGCCTCTTTGGCTTGCAAGCACTCCAGTGTATTTTGTGTCTTTCTCACAAAAGCGACAATTTTATACTTTACTTCCCCTCCTATGATGTAAATCTCTGTCTGCCCCCGGATTTGGGGGATCCTCGTGACCATCCGCAACCAGGGTTCTTTCTCCAAGCAGGAGAGGTTGGTGTTTTTAAAGCTTTAGCAATGATGTTTCCACATGCAACACCCTTTTTTGTACACTTCTTTGTGGTCACTGCACGATCACGACGTGAAATTTCCTTGCGCGACGTGTTATGGAAGACGACGACGGCAATGAGAACGCCAAAAAGGTAATAGATTTAACAAGCATAACAACATTTTTGCACGTGAACTCACGAAAATCCTGTTGTTTATTAATCAAATAAAGAATTGAAAACGTTATACCTTCACTCGCATCCACCATCACTGTTACCTTGAGCCACCAGACTGTTAGTATTGAAAGGACTATCATCTCATAATCAGCGTCACGGCAGCTAAGCTTTACTCCACTGGTATTCCTGAAACACAGAACCTCCATTTTTAGTGGGCGTTTTGGCGACGTATTAAGAGGCCTTACCCCTAAGAAACCACCGATGATTTCTGGCTAAAAAATAAAATCGGCCGATTTTTATCTCCTAAGTAGAGGTCACTGAGTACTATTCAAAAATGAATTTCTTTTGTTTCAGTTTCGCTTTAAACCAAAAATATCGAGCCGCAAACTTTTTCCATCTGATAGCAGCAAAATCAGGCCTAAAATAAGCCCTTGCAAAAAACGGTTCAGAAATCACTGTATCACAACGCAAAATAATGAGAAAACCACACAGTGATGAAGAAAACGTCCTTTTAAAGGGGCTATGTCACCCCACACGCATGCGCGAGCCAATGAAAACAAACTTGAAAAAGACGGCCCAACTTTTTCAAGTTCTGTCGGAGATTTTGGAAGGCTGTTTTTATCTGTCTAAATCTCAGCCATCGTTCGATAGATAGCGAAGTTTTGTATTAAGAATCGTTCTATGGTGATTACAGAATAATTTTTTGGCGTTATTTTGAAATTGTTTGCCTGTGGAATGTTTTTACGTGGATTTACTGTGACCTCTTATCAGCGGCCGTTGTAATGGCAGAGTTAATGACGGCTACTCCACAATGAGCGATGGAATCTTTGATGGAATCTTCCCTATAGTTCACAGAACCTTTCTATTGAGTTATTTTAGAGGCTGCTGGCTCTTGGATTTTTCTTGTGCTCAAAGTATGTGGACATATAATGAAGCGGCTATCGAGTTGGCGGCGGCCGTTTTTTGTAAACGATTACAAGAGCATCAGGCCATGAGTTTCGTGACGAAACTAAACTCCTGGCGAAGGAAACATTATAAAATTCGGCTAGATTCCTTCTTGTATTTATCTGGATTCACAGCAAAGATAAACACGACCGTTTGCTCGTCCAGATTGTTCTCAACGGACTTAGAGAGGCATCTTAGTACGAGTTAGATCCTGTAAATGTCATGTTTTTGAACTGTTTGTGTTCGAGCATATTTTTGGAAAATAGCAGAGTTTACTTTCCCTTTTTATCAACGGACTGCTTATAGTGGAGTAGTATACCAATGATGCTTGGTTCTGTTTTTCTCGACGTCGCAGTGATTCGGCACGATCGAA